CAATAATATATGGGTGCTGCACATTATTACCTTTTTGGGGGGGTATATGCAGCCTACATGAAGGCAACCCAGATAGGGTTATGGTGGTAAGTCAAGTTCATGGAGAGTTTCCCCCTAGATCACTCAGTGAATTTTTATGTATTACCAAATGACTGGCATTCCTGTCCTTGAACATCAGTGCATACTCCACTAAGCACACAAGAAACATGGGCCTGCTTCAGAAAAGTGCCAGTTTCTGAGATTTGTAAAACAACTACAGATGGTTACTCACTTATATTTGTTAAACATGAGACTATTGACACAGCATCCATGGCAGATGCCAAGTTTGGAAGAGCACTATTACAGTCCTTATTTAATTAATCATCTGTAAGTCCTTGACACACCATCTAGATAGGATAACGCTTGTTCGTCACTGGGATTGGGGTCCACACTGATTCATACAAGAACAAAACAGTCATTTGTCCTACACTTACTGCAGCACTTCAAAATGATGTAGTCAGCATGGATTCAACAGTTTACCCTCCAACCCTGCTCATAGTCTTTAGCTATAATGGGCTTAGAATTGCAATGAAGCTTAGGGAGGGTTACAGCCACTCCATTCTTTATGCTGTTGTTTGAGAGCATGAAGAGACACAGAATATGGGTTATCTAAAATAATCCAGATTGGTGTGCATAGGGCACATGTTCATCCATAGCAGATCCACACAGATGATGGTGTTTCAGCTACTGTAGGGCAAGTAGCCATTCTTTTTTTAATAGTGTGCTGTGGAATCTAAAATGATCTTTACAATTTACAATGATGAGCTTACAAGCAATGTAAACTGCATTTAGTGAAGTTTTATTGAGCTGGATTTTTTCTGTATTATGCAATTTGCTTAAAGCTTTAAGAATAAGCTAATGTGTACGCTTTTTTAAGACTGGGGTAGTATTTCTTAACCTTGTGTTGTAACTTTTCTTTCAGCAAATCTCTTCCTCTTTGGGTAAAACCAAAGCAACATGTTTGAGAAGTGGGGTGTGGAAGGCTGAGATATAACTGGAGGTCAGGTTGAGCAAAGGGCAGTTTATAATATAAACGTATATAGTGCAGGAAAATGACTTTTTCTACTTATTTCAATGTGATCATAATACAAATGGGAAAGAAGTAACTGTATTACAGATAGTACTGTTTAATAGAGCTACAAATATAAAGATGATGATGATCATGCTCTTTGATTGCATAACACAGCATTATCAATCAAAAAAAGTCTAGGGTTGGAGACCAGCACTGCTATCTATGGCTTTGTAGTTTTTTGTGGCTATAATTGTCTTAGATTTAATGTTTATTTAGTGCAATTATTTTAGAGTCTAACATATCTTTGGGTACTAATGAAAAGTCGCTTACCTTTGAAGTAAACTTATTTTTTAAAAATTATAGTTGATATTTCATAGCATCAGCAATACAAATAGCAGCAGAAACTGATGGCACCTGCAGATGTCAAATGACCTGGATCAGTGATTCTCAACCTTGGTGCTCTGGTAGCTTGGGGTGCCTTGTAATCCCTTCAGCGGTGCCATAGGGGGTCCCACAGTGTTAGCACCACTTGGTATGCCAACATGATTCAAGAGATAAACCCAGAGATTTCAAACAGACACCCATAGCTGCGGTCATTTGGAGTTCTTTGCAGCAGAAAAACTGCTGTGTTTTTTTTCAGTCACTAAAAAAAGAGCAAAAATGCAGAGCTGCTACTTTCTGAGGTGTACCACAAGTCCTATCCCGAGGTGCCTTGAGACTAAAAAAAGGTTGTAAACCACTAATCTAAGTACCCTCCAGTTGTGAAGCCATGAAAAAATGAAATCCGTGCCGGGATGCCTGCTGATCCCAGCTTGCTGGGCGAAGAGAGAGCGGTGTGATTTTTTTCCCCACAAATCACAAAGGAATCAGGCTGTAAGAGATCTCCAGAGGCCTTCTACCCTGCCTGAGGCTGGACCATCCCTATCCAAATCATCCCACACAAACCCTAGTCTAAACTGTATCTAAGACGACCATCAACCCTGACACAACATGGACCTACCACCCTAACCTGCTGCATGTAAAGCAACGTCCTGCTTCTATGAAACGTTGTCAGCCTATGCTCATAGGGCCACACCGCAGTTACAGAGAAGGCAACACCCTGGGGGGGGGGGGGAAATTTCTTCCTGACCATTACAAATGTAATGATCAACCTGACCCTGAGTGGAGGGGCAAGACCCTCTAGCCAGGAACAGTGGTGGCCTTAGGGGTGTCGGGGCTAGACCAGGGATGGGCAATTATTTTGAGCGGAGGGCCGCTTTCTGAGTTTTGGCAAGCCATGTGGGAGGGCGCATGATAGGCAGCCAGGAGCAGATAAATATTAATTTTAGGGGCCATGAGGGCCAGACAGAATGACCTGGCAGGCCGCATTCAGCCCCCGAGCTGCATTTTGCCCACCCCTGGGCTAGGCAGTCATTTGGGCCCCCTTCGAAGCTTCATTTTGATGACCCGTAAGCTGGACAGTTTCCATTTCAATTTAACTTTGCCCTATTGCACGAAATTGCAATGACAGTATCTTAATACAATATTGATACTACAGAGTTTTTTTAGCATGGAGCTATATTCTAGGTTCAAAATTTCGGGCCCCCCTAAGGTGTGGGGGCCTGGGTTGCCCTCCCTTAACGCCGCTACTGCCAGGACCTTCCGAGCTTTCCAGTCAAGCTCGGCTATCGCCAACACCAAGCGCCTCTGGGGGAGGCTTAAAAACAACCTGACACATGTAGCAGGAAGGCGGGGGGAGAAGCAAAGCCCATAGCAGAAAGCCCTGGCCTCCTGTCTCCCTCCTCCCCCATCCCCCGGTTTTAACCACAGTGAACAAGCAGCAGCAGGGTGCGAGCAGCCCTTGCCCTGCATCCACAGGAGAGGGGCAGGTGGCCCTGCGGGACCGGCCTCGGGCCTGGAGCGAATCCGCGGGCCGCCGCGGCCCTGCCAGCTCCCCGGCGTGGGGCGGCGCGGCCGGTAGTAGGCATG